CGCTCCGCACCAGTCAGTGGCACCGCCCAGTCCATCCCGCCCGCCCCGCCGGGGCACGTCCCTTTTGCCCCTCATTGGCTAATAGTACCGCCCGTCATCCGCCCGCCCAGCCCGAGCACTTGCTTGTTCTGAGCCCAAGTGCCACCAACCTCGGTGAGGACCAGGACGGCGGGGCGCGGGGACAGTTGCGGGTGACAGTCACTGTGGCTCTGTTTGAGCTCAGCACTCTCGTCATGAGCTGGACCTCTGTCAGCACCCAAGTCATTTTCATTTCCTGATCTTTGAGGGACAGGGGGCCTTCTCAGTCCTAAAGGGATCACCCTGGGATCTGTGTCCTCAGCTGTGCGGCCTCTGGTGTCTCTTCCTGCAGAAGCGGGCTTGGTTGGGCTCAGGAAGGACTCGCCTTGCTTTTCTTTCTGTGCTCTTCAGGCAGGGGTGGCTTTGGGTATTTCTAAGGTTGGGGACCTCCGTGGGTATGCACTTGGCAGCGGCAGCTCACAGGACAGGCCTCTTAGAAACTGGGGCCAATACTTGGTTGATTCTAAAGGTTTTTAAAACCAGTGGGTAAAATTCAACAGAGCTCTCCACTCTGAGCATTGGATACTAAGAATCCTCTCACTCAGCTGGCTCAAGAGAGATTGGGACAGCTGGGGTGGTGCACACTTTCCCTGGGGCGCGACTCTCGCGAAGCCAAGCTGCAGGCAGGAGTGGGTGCCCTGAACCCCATCCTGTCTTGCGTCAGACACTGCCATTCTTCAGTGAAGGACCTCCAATTCTCACCACACCGCTGTCCCTCACAGGCCCCTGGCTTCCTCTGAAGGGGCCGCCTTGTCCTGAGAATTCCACAGAACTGCCTGGGCCTCTCTCCTAAGGGTGGATGATGACTGCTGTCAACTCTGTGCACTTTCTTCTTGGAAGAAAAGAAAGAGGGAGGAAGGAGGGATGGAGGGAGGGCCAAGGAAGGGGAGAGAGAAAGCGACTTGCATGAGGACATCTGGGTTTTCCCAGTCACCAGATTAATTTAGGGGCTGTTGTGATGGTACTTAGAAGACAGGCGACAAGACGGCAGAGTACAGTGCACTGTGGAAGCTGTGGAAACAACTTCTGCCCTACTATCCCGCTTATTAGGCCATGGTAGGAATGTGCTTCTCACTGTGTTTCACAGCAGTTGAGAGTGAAAACAGACTGGGCTCATTTGAACAACCTCTGTCACAGCTTTCCTGGCTGTGACACCCACTTCTGGGCAAACGGATAGGGAGAAGTAGGTTGGGAAGAGAGGATGTGAGGGGCATTGAAGACAGCATTTGCTTTCCTGGTAGAATGAACAGATCTCCCCTGCCCATCTGCCTCCAGTATGGACAATTTAATGTGTAAAGTCCAGGGCACTGAAAGGCTTGTTAGGATCATGACACAGTAGGTCCATTTTCAGATGCTAACGATGAAAGGAGTCTGGGTCTTTATTGGCTTTATTTGGGCCTTTATCTGAGGATCTTTGCACCAAGCCTTTCATGTGACATGTTGGTTACAAAAACAGGAGGCACTACACATGTGACCCAAGGGCTGCAGAGTGCCAACCCCTTCCCCAGTTGATCCTACTCCTGTGGCCCTTTGTCCTCATCGCCTCCCACTCCCTCTGACTAGCGTGGTTCCTCCCCATACCAGGCTCCTGCCTCCCTGTGGCCTTTCAATTCTGCTGAGCCTTTGACTGATGGCTGCTGTGCTTGCCCTGCACCTCCTTCCAGGTGACTCCAGGTTCCCATCTCTTGGGGTCCTCTTGGCTCTGCCCAGCCATCCGTGCCTGGCCCGTACTGCCTGCCCTGGCCTAGTGTGTACTTTCATTCCTCACTCCAAGCTCCTTGAGGTGGTGGCTGTGTGTCCTTAAGCCCTGACTTCCCAATATCATCATGTTTCATTGATATTTGACTTGTGGCTGATTTTGTCCTTTTGGACACATTCAGAAGGCACCTTGCCCATCCCAGGTGCCTCAGAGTTTGCTCTCATGACCCTATGTGGCTCTGTTGATATCATCAGGGACTGGGGCAGATGGCATCTCCTCTAATGGAAGCTGGGGTCTCAGGGAACCTAGGTCACACAGATGCCTCTGCAGGACCTCTGCCTAGGGGACCCCAGGGATGGAGACCTTTGGGGGTTTGTTAGGGGGGCACAGTGTCCCTCGTTGGCCTCTCATTCTTACAGCATCCTGAAATCAGAAAATTTCTCCTTTTTGTGAACAGTCCTCGTGAACTTTTCAGATCTCTAAACAGCCAAATGGAAACACACCCCAATGTTTTATTAATGAGCCACAGGAAAGGAATTTGTGTTTGATTTACAAGGGGGAATCTTTTGGAGCCTTGGGGTCTGGTGCACCTCAGTGGGATCTGCCTGGTAAGGCCTGCAGAGGGCTTCTCCCTCTGGTTGGCTGGGACATCTTGGCACCAGGCACTGCTCCAGGGCAGTTGGAAATTCCTCCCACCTTCCTCTGTCCTTCCAGGGCTGCCAGGTCAAGCAGCATGATGCCAGGAGTAATCTCAAGTTGGTAACATGTGATTTAAATTTCTGAATTTTGAAACATCCGCTTTTGTAGTTTAGTGCAAACAACATTGATAATGACAGCCACTTCCAAGGCCATTGCCTGGAAACCTTAAAAGGGATTTTGTTTGTTTGTTTGTTTTATTTTTTTGGTACGGGGGATCAAACTTGGGTCCTTGTGCTTGTGAGGCAGGTGCCAGAACCATTGAGCTAAATCCCTGGCCCTTAAAAAGAATTTTGAATTAAAGTTATTAATCGATTTCCTCAAGCCTTTTATGGATGGCTTTATTGGATTCTTTCCTTCAGCATTTCCAGCCTCAGATTCAGAATAAATGACTTTAAAGCAGTTTTCAAAAACTTTGTGTCAGAATGAACACTCTTAACAAAGCAATTAGCTGATTGTTCTTGAGATGATACCACTCACAGAACTGCCCATGGTGTTGGCTTTGGGGGCCCCCATGAGTGATAAGGCTCCAGCTGGCTGCTCCGGACATACCGGCTTTGTGAGGATTTGGCTGGAGTTCTATGGCAACTTCTCAGAAAATCTGCACACTGCTGACTTTTCCTCCTTGGGTGAAGTGGTTTTCACTTGCTCCATTTGTTAGCATGTATGCAGTGATTTCAGGCTCCTAGAAGAAACATCACACTTAGGCCAGAGGCAGGCTGGTAATGACAATTAATTCAACAGTTTCAACAGCATCTCCTTAGTACCTTCCCAGGAAACCTCCCTGCAAAAGGTTTGTAGGAGGGAGGAAACTTGCTTTAAAAGGTGATAAAACTAAAAAGCCCTGCTGAGACTTACTTTTGGGGAGAAATAAGTTCTTGGCTCAAAGCCCTTTCTCCTCTTGGACTCTTAAAAAAAAAAAAAAGGATGTAACTGTCGAAGTTACACCTGCTCCCAAAACATGCCTGAGACCAGGGTGATTGAAAAGCTGTGGTCGGTGAGCTCCAGCAGGTGGCTGTGTGGGTGCTGACACCTTTCTCCTCTTGCCTTTTCCTCCCTCTCCTCCTGACACTGCTACAATTTGGGAAGCTGTGGAAGGGGCAGTGCTCCACTGTCTTAGGTCCTCCCTGCCTTGTTGCATCACCTCTCCTCATGCCCATACTCCGTCCCTCTTTCTACCCCACTGTCCATTCAGACTGTGTTCTGGGGTTGCTGGCAATGTGGGGCTGCTAGAAATCTAACAGACACGTAATTGCATGAGTAGATGACATCACAAAAATAATAAGGCAGTGCAAGACTCCTCAACAACTGAATTCCAGTATAACTATAATCTCAGTATCATGAGGAAGTGGCTTTATGTTGTTCAGGGCTTTCCTTCATTTAACAGACAGCAAGGCTGTTTTCAGGACTTGGGGAGCTGGGTGTGGAACACACATAGTGGGAGACTTACAGAAGGACACTGCTGCTCACAGGAGGTTATTCCCAGAAAGGTCTGCCACTGCCTGAGGCCTTGATCAGATGAACAGGGAGCTGCCCATTAGAAAGCCATTGGACCTTCCCTCCAGTCAGGGTGTGAAGCAGCCAGGGAAGTTGAGACCCCTGATTGAGAAAACAGGGCCTTGGGAGTGCCTGCATGAGCAAGGGCCTTCTGTCCTGCAGCCTCTGGACTGCGTCTTTCAAAGTCAACCATCCACAGGGTGCTCTGGGAAATCGTGCCAGAAAGAGAATGCGCTTCCTGTGTTCCGCACTATCTCTTCTTCCAAGTATGTGGCTTCCCAGGAATGCAGAACATTCCCATGGGGAGGGTGGGCTGGGTCCCAGCAATTCCTGACCCGGGGGCTCTGGGTGGGGAGATGTCCAGTCAGTGAGTCTACATTATCCCTGGCCATGTCAAAGCCACCTCTGTGTAGCCCCACTGGAGGAGCCTCCCACCCCCAAATCTCCTTTCCTGTCTGCTAGCTGTGACCTCAGGACCTGTGTGTTTAAA